GCCTACCTGTGAAGTTGTTATAAGTCAATGAGATATGAATAGAAAATACTTAGAAGCTTGCATAGCACCCGGCATTGATAAATCAGGAAAGGTGATGATTGCGAATCTCAAAGCAAGTCAAGTTCAACCACATGTTCTGAGTGAGCTCTGGAGTAGGCACTGCAGAAAAACAAAAAGTTGAGTCTCCTGTGGAGACATGATGAAGAACCAGGGGGAGGGGTCATACCATAAGAAGTCCTCAAGCCAAACCAGGGAATCTGAACTTCAGCTTCGGGGAAATTGGGAACTGTGGAAGTAAAAGGCCTCAAGTTTTAGTAGAGTTGAGGGAATGCAGGCCTGTGGGGACAGAAGACGGTGGTTCTCTTGCTGCCAAACCACCTGTCATCTTACTGGCTCCTTAAGTCCTGGCAGAGAGAGAGGCTGAGGGATGGCAAGAGATGGAGAGAGATAGAGGCAGGGAGAACAGCAAAGAAGCTGAGTGTGGGCTTCTCTGTGGCAGCGCTTGCTTTCCTGCTCTCTCTGCCAGCCTGTCTGGGAGACTGGCAGGGCCCCCAGCCCACTTTCAACTACCCCAGGCAAGGTTGCCGAATAATTCTCACTGCCTCCAAACGGCGCTCCACGTGGCAGCCAAGAGCATGCTGCCAAGAGGCAAGTGGCCAAGATTCCCTTCCAACAGAGACATCCCCTTGCCAATCAGAACTCGGCCTGCACACATCTAGTAAAATCAGACTGTTTGCTGTCAGCCAAGCAGATGACACGATCAGGACTTCTTGACCCTGCCCACTGCCTGCCCCCATCCCTAAAAACCTACTAGCAAGGAGAAAGGTCCATACCCCAAAGACCCAAGCACCTGCCCCCTTCACATTTAATCTCCAGGATCCGTCTGCTGCAATCACAACCTCTGGAGTCAAAATGTACAAGTTCAAAGCCCGGCCCCTCCCAATTGAGCAGCTATGCAACCTGGGGCAAATCACCTTACCTCTCTGAGCCCCATTTGTGTCCACACAATGGGGTTCCTAACAGTTCCTGCCTCACAGAGTTGTTAGGTGGATTACATGAAATCATATATGAAAAGTGCTTTCCCAACAGCTGGCATTTAGTCCATGCTCAATCAATGTTCACTTGGGGGTAGCTCTAAGATACTTCATCTATCTGGAACTCAGCTAACAATCTCAGCTATCTAGAATGGGGCTACCAACCACAGGATTTGCAGAAAAGGCCTCCAAGCAGTTAAAACAAATGGCAGAGCCAACACATGGCAGGTCTCATCATGAAAACTACTTCATATAATACTAGTAATATCATGGTCCTATAATTAATATAATAGTAATACAGTACTCAGTAACCACTACTACAAAGCTTTGGGCAAGGCAATTTAAATATAACTTATCATTTAACCAGTGGTGTGCTGGTAAATGCTTAACAATCAGTTCTCTGAAAGAAAAGGTGGAGTTCCAATGTATACCATTTCTGTGGTATAAACTCTCCCCACCATGGTCACCTTCTAGCTTCCACTGTGATGTCACAGTACACCTGGGGATGGGAAGGAAGCTAACAGCCCTTTCTTGTCAGCCAGCTCTGATCACCACTGAAATTAACTGACTCCACGTCCCTGTAAGATCAGTGCTATCTTAGCTCCACTTTCTAGACCAGGATAGCAAGGCTCAGGGACAGAGATTCCATCACCTGAGATTGCACAGTGAGCAAGCTGCAGCAGCACTAGGATCTGAATCCAGGTCTGTGTGGATTTCAAAGTTCCTGCTCTCTACACTTGGCCCAGACCCCAGCCCTCATTAGCACAACAATACTGATTCTTTGGTAAAGACAGGTGGTAGTGTGTATTCTCCCTCCCAAACTCATGCCCACTTATATTCAAACTAGAGGCCACTTTCCTGGACAGGTCTCTCTGGTCTGGTTCTGCAGATCCCCCTGCTGTCCCACCTGCCATGCCACAACCCTCCTCCCCAGCCATAACTTCCCCACCCCAGAGACTCAGACATCTTTATAAGAGTTTTGAAAAGTTATCTATATCTCATCAGGATTTCAGTTGATAAAAGAGGATCAGGAAAAAGAAATCATATCATATATGATATCGTGAGCTAGATACCACTGATGTGCTTTTAATGCTTCCATAGAGTTAGCAAGCCTATAATAAGAGACTGAAAAAGGGAGGGACAAGGAATCACAAAATATCACTTTAGTTTCATTTTACTTTTAGTAAGTGAAGCTGGGCACCTTTCTAGTGGGGGCAGTTTTCTCAAACCATTGTGTGGAAATGTCAGATTCTACTTACCGGACCAGTGGTGTGTCTGGGCCAAAGGGTGGAAGCTAGCCTGTTTCCTAATGAAACAGTTGATAGGCCCACATCCCCCATGTCCTCACCTCCACAAATAGTCCCTCAAGACATAGGGGCCATGTCTGCAGCATCTGCATATCCTCTCCACTTCTCAAATTTTAATGTGCACAAGAATCACCCAAGATCTTGTGGAAATGCAGATTCTGACTCCAGAGGTCCAGTGTGGGGCCAAGTCTCTGCATTTCTAAACAGGCATTCAGGTGATGGCAATGCCACCAGTCCATGGTGGACCACACCGTAAGTAGCTAAAGTCTAAATCCCAAACACTCAATCCCTAAGTTGCTTATGGGCCCCCTAACATTTCTGTGTCTCAAGGTTTTATAAATCCCTGAAGCAATTATAGCTTGACTCCTAATCACAAACACCTCAGAGTTAGCCCCAATCCATGTGGGTCTCTCACAGTCACTTTCTGTGACTGCCTCATCTTGTACTCACTCCTACTCAACAAATACCAAGTGCCCACTCAAGACCAGGCCAATGCTGGTGCTAGGAATATGGAAAGACCCAATCCCTGCCAGATGGTCTCCTTTATTTGTCAGGAAAACGCCTTAGTCTGTGAGCTCTGTTTCCAGGTAGTAATAACAGCAGACACTTAGGTAGTACTTAGCATGTGTGAGGGACTGTTCCAAGCACTTTATAAACATTAATTCTTTTAGTGCAGTAGGTCCAGTGATTAACTTCATTTTATAGGAGAGGACTGAGGTCCATTGAAATAAAGTCACTTACCTGCTAAAAATTATGCAACCTTGAGAATGAAACTATTTAAACCCCCACTGGGAGAGGAAGTTATATATTTGGGACAAAAAAAAATATATTTTTGAGTAGTATCATGAATTTGACCGTGGCAGGCAAGTGGGTAGGCAGTTAGTTATACCTGACTGGGACAGTGAAACATGAAGGGAGAAGGCTTATATAATTCAGGATTCTTGGTTGTAAGCAGCAGAATCCCAACTCAAAGTAGCTTAAGCATAAAAGGGAAACTGTTGTTCACATATCTGAACAATGCAGGAGTAGCTTCAGGCATGGCTAGATCCGACAGCTCAAACAAGATTGGCAGGGTTTGACTTCTCTCTCTTGGCTCTGTTTCCCTCTGAGCTGTCCTCCTTTTCTCTCACCATGGTTGGCTCCCCTAGTAATTTGGGGAACATAGCTGCTGGCAGCCCCAGGGTCACATTCTTCCAGAGGAAAAAGGACTTTCCTCCCCGTCATGTTCATATATAAGCCACAGGGAAGTTTTATTGGAACACATTCACATCCATGCAATGTACATATTGTCCATGGTTGCTTTCCTGTTACAATGACAGAGAGGAGTAGTTGGAATAGAAACCATGTGGCCCATAATAAAGCGTAAATGTTTACTATCTGCCCATTTCCAGAAAAACCTATTTTAGACTGCAATAACAACAACAACACTTAGCTAACATAAACTGAGTACACAGTATATACCAGATACAGTTCTAGGCATTTGTTCGTTTCTTAAAACAATGCATTGAGGTGGGAAAACTAAAACCTGAAGAGGTTAGGAGCAGTCAAGATCAAGGTCAGGCAGCCAGTAAGCAGGAAAGCTGGGTTTTGAATTCAACAGCATGACCCCAAATCCCATACTCCTAACAGCTCTGCTAATCGAACAAGGGTCTTCTGGAAGCTTCAGTAAGTAGGTTTTTCTAAATCAGGGTGTGATTTTCCAACGACCAGTTCAAGAAACACATACACACACATACACACACAGAGGGATGTGTATTTTCTCAAGTATAAATGCTAAAACAAATGGTGAATCCCACATAGCGCTCCCACTGCTTGTGAGCTATTTAGCGCTGCCCCATCAGTGCTCTTATGGAAAGAACTGTCCCAAGGAACCACTGGGGTTTCCCAGTGGGCAGAATGGCCTGAATCCCCAGGAGCTGGCTGAGACTTCGTGTTCCAGAAGTAGGGGCTTTAATAACACTTGAGTCCAACATGAGCGGCAGCCTTTGCTCACTGAGGGCTCCAGGTGGGAACTCCAGAGATAAACCCACCTATTTTGAGATGAGGTCTCACCAGGTCCCATCACAGAATTCTGAGGAGCCCATGGACCTCTGATATTTCTCAGTAATTTATAAAGCCCTGCCCAGGAAACTTCTGGCACAGCCCCAAGGAATGAGTCTCCTCTCCTGCCCTCAGCGGGTCATCGGGAGGCTTTGGACTGTGGGGATAGAGACCTTTACTGACAGTGGAGGGAAGCATGGCTTCTTGCAATCTTGGGTTCAAATTCTGGTGTCGAACTTAGCAGCTGTGGGACACTGAGCTACAGCTACAGAAGTGTTTCCTCTTTCTGAGCCTCACTTTAACTTTCTGTAAAATGGGTGCAATGGTAACATCCCCTGCCCTCAGATGCCAGCCCACTGAAGGGTATCTGTGACTTTAAGAGATAACTTACACCAAGCATTTGGCACAGCATTTGAACAAGTTTTGCAGTCAGACTGGTTTACTTTCAAACCTTGTCTATACTACACTGTTGTGTAACCACTACTTTGCTGGGCCTCAGTTTCCTGATCTGTATAATGGAATCAATGCAGAACTTGCCTTTTGGGGTTGCTGTAAGGATTAACTCAGCTTATGGGTGGTTAGGACTGATATAGTAAAATGCTTAGCACTTACTTATTTATATCAGATGGGTAATGTGCCGAGGTTATAAGAAGATCTGAGGGAGGCACAAATTACACAAATGCAAGAACACCCAATCATCACACTTGTGAACTACAAAAGGATCAGTTTTAGCTTTCAAAGTCTACCTTCAACCAAGGTATGCAAGAAATGATTGTCTTAACAACGCAATATACCTTTACTTTCTGAGCTAAGGGTAATGTGAACTAGCCTCTGGGAAGCCTGTCCCAGTCCCTGGGGAGGTGATCCAGTGCCCCAGGGCCCTGATGATGGGGGAGCCAGCCCTGCAAAAACCCTAGCTCCTCCACACAGGTCTCTGCTACTGAGGTTTGGGGCCAGGTCCCTAGAGCAGACATCCTTCTTATGGTTTTCTTGGATCAGTGCCCCCAGGGCTGTGCTAAGATAACTGATAGGGGGGCCTTCAGTGCTCTGCTAAGGGCCTCAGAGCCAGGGAAAGGTGGTCTGCCCGGTCCCTAGATGGGGCCAAGTGGTCTAGGGGCCTGGCCCAGGTCTCTTATGTCCAGCCCACTGGACTCTGAGTGCCAATGGCACATCCTCTATAGACATGATAATCCCTCTGGGAGGCCATCTCAGATCTCCCATGGCCAAGAGGGAACCCTGTACTCCTGCTTGCTCCCTACTCTTTCTCCCAGCATCTTCCCCATCTCAAGAAAAGGTGGTACACATCCATCCAGATGCTCAGGCCAGGAGCCTGGGAGGCATTTCCAATTCACTCCATTCTGTCACATTACATCATCCATCAGTGAGCCCCATCAGCTCCATCAGCTCCACGTTTAGTGAAGCCCAAACTGCTCACCACCCCTAACCAGCCTCCTCCTGGCTACCTGCTTACCTCCATAATGCTGTTTCAGAGTGATCCCCCAAAATGCTGTCAGATGGCATTACTTCTCTTTGTACCCCGTGGTCAGTTCTGTGGGTACTAAGTCAAAAACCCAGAGCCCTTATGTAGCTAAGGAGGCCTATATAGCCAGCTGTAGCCTTGTTCTCCCCCTGCACCTCCAACCCTCAATGGCTCTGGTTACACAAGCTCTGAGATCTGCAGCAACCCTCCCTGAAACAAGCCACACACTCGTGCACATGCAGACACACACACACACAAACCCAGACACGCAGATATTCACAGAGGTAAAGAAGCACACACCCAGACACAGAGATAAAAACACATGCACGCAGACATATCCCACACTACCCAGACACTGAATCACACCTCACACCAAGACACACACACCTCTTTCCATGGCAGACTCCTTATATTTCATGATCCATTTAATAACTCCCTTCTCCTGATGCTCTACCATTGGACATTGTAGATTTGCTTTGTAGGATCACAATTTGTGATTCTTTTATCCTATTAGTTTATGTGCTTCTCACTGGACTCCCCAGACCCCCTCTGAGACTGTTTACGCCAGAGAGACCATTTTTCTTTTGTTTACGCACTCAGCATACAGTAGGCACTTTATAAGTATTGAAGGAAGGAGTAATCTCCTAATCTCTTTTCTATTTTATTTTTTTAAGATTTTATTTGTTTATTCATGAGACACAGAGAGAGAGAAAGACAGAGACACAGGCAGAGGGAGAAACGTACTCCATGCAGGAAGCCTGATGTGGGACTTGATCCTGGGGCTCCAGGATCACACCCTGAGCTAAAGGCAGATACTCAACTGCTGAGCCACCCAGGCGGTCCCTCTCTTCTATTTTAATAAGGGGGCTGCACTTGTATGCTTGTCTATAGGCTCAAGTGTCCTGGAAAAACAAATAAATGTGGAGCAGCCAAAAGGGGGCTAGAAGTTCAGGAGACTTACCATTCACTCTATGCATATGTTTGATGTCTCAACTTAAAACATTATATGTATACTGCTTATAGAATAATGTATCTTTGAAAATTAATACTTTAAAATAGGATACTCCGGCAGTTCTCCAAGCTGGCCCAGCATCCTGGCTGGAAAGGCCAGGCTAGGGTCCCAGGTGGGTGTTGTCAATGTTTTTTCTGGTAGGAGTAAAAGGTCCAGACCTGTATGGCTCTTCCAGGCCTAAGGGGAAGGAGCTGGGGTGGAGGCCTCATGTGGGTCCCATTTCCTGTGCCCTCTATCTTCATGGCCAGCCTGTGTGCCAATGAAGGAAACTAAGTTTGTCCAGGGTCAGCTCTGAGAATCGAGGGCATAAGGACAGAGACTGCAGTTTGACAATTTTTGCTAGACTCTTCACAGGAACGAATGTGGAAGAGATTGGCCTATAATCACAAAGTTTGTCCTCATACCGTTTCTTTTAAATAGAAACTTATAGGGGATTCCTGGGTGGCTCAGCAGTTTAGTGCCGTCTTTGGCCCAGGGCGTGATCCTGGAGTCCTGGAATCCTGGGATCAAGTCACGCATCGGGCTCCCGGCATGAAGCCTGCTTCTCCCTCTGCCTGTGTCTTTGCCTCTCTCTCTCTCTCTGTCTCTCTCTCTCATAGATAGATAGATAGATAGATAGATAGATAGATAGATAGATAGTTACATATAACACATATAGCCCTGTTCAATATCATGATCTCACAATATTTCCCTTACCCTGAAGGATTTACAAATTTCTTGTAATGAAATTATGGGTCTCCCAGACCTCAGTCTTGCCACATCATTGTGTGAGTGCTCCAGGCTTTTAAAGTGGCTCTTCCCTCCCAAAGTCTAGTTCTCTGCCCAATGCCAAGCTGACTTTTCACCTTGCCCAATCACATGACAACTATCTCCAAGTGTATGATCTTCTTAGAGAAGACAGAGGTTTATAAAAGAAGAAGGATCAGGAGGAAGGAGTAGGGGAGGAAGAAGAGGAGGAGAAGAAGAACACTGCTGAGTCCTTCCTATTTGTAGGGTGGAGAGAACAGAGGATTGTCTCTGATCCTCTGTTTTCACCTGAGAGAATGAAACACTTTTTTCCTATTAACCTGTTCCACTGATGTGTTTCTGTCTAGCCTCTTTTCTTTGAACCTCCTTGATTGTGTCTCTTTGGAATCATGTTGGTCCTTGGCACACCTCTACAGGGATTTGGTCTTTTGAAGGTCCCATCTGACTGATTTCTGGACAATCTAAGGTTGAGACAATGTGGTACCTGACTGATTTCTGGACAATCTCAGGTTGAGACAATGTGGTACCTGACTGATTTCTGGACAATCTCAGGTTGAGACAATGTGGTACCTTACTCCCCTGCCCCAGTCTCCCACAGTGTCTGCACGGACAGCCAGTGAATATTTCCCTTCAAATGCACCTCCTGGAATATCTGTTAGTTGTTACTGTTACTAAAGCCACAAATTACTACCCCTGAGTAGCCCTTTCAACCTCTCCAGCCCCCTTCACCAGCTAAAAATGACTTAAAGGGTAGAGATGGCAAATATATAGCATTTAAGTGGCCACTGCCACCTTGCATGCCAGTGGCAGACATTACTAATGGATTGCCCACTCCTACCCTGCGATCCAATTACTGATGAATTCAGTCATCTGGATGTCTACAGTAGAGCTTGAATCAAATCAACTGCTCCCCATCCTCCATCATCCACCATTCCTTGCTCAGCTCAGACACCTAAACAAATCTTGAATCTGACCTTCTAGCTTCCCCCTCTGCCTCCTTTCTCCAAATGACTTAAAAAAAAAAAAAAAAAAAAAAAAAAAAAAAAGCTTTGACTTTCTAAACATAACCAGATCCTAGTGCCTCCCTACTGAAAATCCTCCCATGGTTTCCCATTGCAGTTAGAATAGGATGACAACTCTCTCCTATGCTCAAGTCCTGAATGACCTGGCCTTATTGGTATCTACTGTCAGCTTCTTCCAGCTGGAATGTGAATTCCTTTTGGGGAGGGAATTTAGCTGTCCAGCTTGAGGCAGTGACCCTAGTGCCTAGAGCAGTTCTTAGCACATCAAATGTTTATAGACTGAATGGGACTCTTTTGCTGATCCAGAATGTGGTCTAAGAATCCTTCTCCAGGGATCCCTGGGTGGCGCAGCGGTTTAGTGCCTGCCTTTGGCCCGGGGCACGATCCTGGAGACCCGGGATCGAATCCCATGTCGGGCTCCCTGCATGGAGCCTGCTTCTCCCTCTGCCTGTGTCTCTGCCTCTCTCTCTCTCTCTCTGTGACTATCATGAATAAATAAATAAAATCTTTAAAAAAAAAAAAAAAAAGAATCCTTCTCCATGTGACATTCCAGGAAGCTACTGCTGAATCGTCAAAGTTCGCATGCAAGATGCAACCTATATTCAAAGCTTATCTGGGCAAGTCTACCCAACTGCAGTTATTTGGGAATTTGGCAATGTATAAATAAATCATGTCCAGCCCTCCTGACCAGCTTGGTTGTTTTCATTATATGTACAGGGAAATTTAATCCTTTATTCTTCGTAGTGGAAAATGGTATGGTGAGGCTAAGTTTTGGGCCCAACAGGGCTGCTGATGGGATCCCTCAGCTTGGGTGTCTGATGATAGGCACCTTGCCAAGTCTGTGAGGAACTTCATCTGTGTTAAGACCAATGCATCAGTGAGGCTGCACTGCAGAGAAAGATGCTCAGGTAAGTCAGGCCATGTGCTGCTACCTCCTTAGGGTATTATCCTTCACAATTGGTTGAGTCACCATGATGGCTGCAAACAGGTTCTCAAAAATCTAACCTTTTGGAAGACGGAGCCCCTGGGTGGCTCAGCCCCTGGGTGCCTTCGGCTCAGGTCATGATCCTGGAGTCCCAGGATTGAGACCTATGTCAGGCTCCCTGCTTAGCGAGAAATCTGCTTCTCCCCCCACCCCTCACCTCGCTTGTACTCTTTCTCTCTCTCTCTCAAATAAATAAATAAAACTTCTGGAAGGCACAGGTGTCACAGAATTAGAGAAACCATTAGGAAGCAGAGGAAAAACATTCCAAAACAGGGAGCCATGATTGGGGTGAGTTCTGGTTTCCCTGCCCAGGGACATTGTGGAGCAAAAGGTGAACATTTCTGGAATTTCTGCCAGGTTTCTTGGGGAACGGGGATGCTGGCAGGAGGAAAAGTGGATGGAGGGAGAGAAGAGTAATTAGTGCTATTAATTACATCTCAACCACAGCCTGCGTTTCTGCCCCGGGATTAAAGAAAC